ATCCCGCCTGGATCCAGCAGGGTCTCCATCCACTCCCCCCCCCCCCGCAGGAGGAATCATGCAACCCCCTCTCCTCTTAAAAAAAGACAGAATCAGACACAGTCAATGTTCATTATAAGAAGCCGTCTCATTGTTAACGTCCCTCCTTCCACGCTTGCAGTGCTCCCTGCCTGCCTTCCGTCTTTCCTCCCTACCTCTCTCAAATAACCGTTGTACACACGAAGACTGCTCCAGGCTGGGGCCCTAAGGGATCTGCTTCCTTCCCCCTCCCTCCCCCGTAATGCATCAGTGTCTGGCACATAGGTGACTCTTAATAAATTCCCATTGAAGTGAATGAATGCCTCTGACATTCACCAGATGATTTAATTTAAAAAATTAAAATCATTAAAATCCTGATACTTAGAATTTCCAACAGAACAAAGAGCCGGCCCATGCCCCAGGGTGTGCGCGGGGTGGAAAATTTGCTCAGAGAAGAGACCAGAGGCTAGAGTCTGGGGTTTGCACATTTATCCAACAAGTGATTCTTATATGTGTCAGGAATCAGCCAGGAACAGCAGAGATGACTCCCCAGGTTCCCGTGGAGCATGGCATCCAGCAGGGAAAACAGACAGTGAGCAAGGCGGACACAACACAGCGCATATTGCGGGGTGCCTGGGGGGCTCAGCTGGTGAGCATCTGCCGTTGGCTCAGGGCGTGATCCTGGGGTCCTGGGATCGAGTCCTGCGTCGGGCTCCCTGCTCAGCACGGAGCCTGCTTCTCCCTCTCCCTCTGCAGCTTCCCCTGCTCGTTCTCTCTCTCGTCTCTCTCTCTCTCTCTCTCTCTCTCTCTCTCTCTGTCTCTCTTTCGAATAAAAAATTAAAATCATTAAAATGAACAAACAAACCACAGGGCTTGTCACATAGGGGCGAGTGCTCAGGTCAAGAAAGCATGAAAGGAGGGGTGAAGGGCTTGCAATTTTAGCTCCGGAGCCAGGGAAGGCCTCATCGCTCTCGGGTGAGAGAACATTCCAGGTAGGGGAACAGCAGGTGTCCTGAACAGTAGGACCAGTTGTGTGTATCACCCGCTTCTGTGCAAACTAGGAAGGGCAGGGATCTTGTCACACATCTGCACGCATGTGTCCCCAGGCCCTAGAACAGTTCTTGACACATCGGAGTGTTTTATAGAATGTTTATCAAACAAATGTGATGATTTTCAGCTCTGCCTTTAGTTACCGGAATACACACACGCTCTCTTTCGTGACGATTCATTTCTGCGCCCCTTGTAGGGTTCTTCAAGCTCCGCACGGTTCGCGCGGGGGGGGGGGGGGCTAGGTAATCCTCGGGCGTGGGGGCCACCTGGAGGATGCTCAGCAGCATCCCTGGCCTCTGCCCTCCGATGCCAGGAGCATTCAGCCTCTGCCGTGACAACTGCACACGTCTCTAGACATGGCCATGGTCCCAGGCGGGGAGGGGATGCGAATCGCCCCAGCAGAGAGCCCCGGCCTGCGGAGTCAGAGCCATTGCTGGGCACCCAGAGCGCTGAAAACCAATGTCCTTGGACGCGTTTGAGAATCAGGTCCTTGGACTCCTGGGAGGCTCAGTGGGTGAGCGTCTGTCTGCCTTCGGCTCAGGGTGTGATCCCAGGGTCCTGGGATCGAGTCCCGCATCGGGCTCCCTGTAGGGAACTTGCTTCTCTCTCTGCCTGTGTCTCTGTCTGTCTCTGTCTGTCTGTCTCTCTCTGTCTCTCATGAGTAAATAAATAAAATCTTTTTTAAAAGAAGAGAATCAGGTCCTGCCTCTGACGCAATCCCCCACCTGACAGCAGGTGGCAGCAAAGACCGCGCTCTCACTACCATGGCTGCCCTCACTTTGCGAAAATGTTCATTTCTCTGCCCATTTCGCACAACTGATTCTGGAACTCGGCTCAATCCCCCTCCCCTCCCCCCCCCCCCCGCCTCGTCCCCGTGGAGCCTTGTGAGCAATCCGCTCAGTCTGCACTTTTCCAGACCAGACACACAGGAAGCAGCAGCAACGTCGTCCGGAACCCACCTGCAGAGAGGGCGCTGCCTGGGTGGTGCAGGTGTCGCAGGTGGGCGCGGGAAGGAAATCCTCCTGGAAGCAGGCAGATATGAATCCGCATCCCAGCTGTATTCCTTTCTCTCTTTGTACCCTCGGGCCCATTAGCTGAGCCTGCCTATGCCTCAGTTTCCCCATCTGTACCCTGCCTTGCTTCTCTCCATAGTCCTCCCCACCCACCATATGTTTTGCACGCCTCTCTCCTCCAACATGTGGCGGCTCTGGGAGCAAAGGCTTGCTCTGGTGGGTCACTGCCCCCGGTTCCTGGCGTGCCGTGACCTTCATCAAGTGTTTGTTGAGTGACCGATTAACAGAGTAGTGCACTAGAGAAATAAGGACTCAGTGAGGGCGGCCTGGGTGGCTCAGTGGTTTAGCGCCGCCTTCAGCCCAGGGCTTGATCCTGGGGTCCCGGAATCAAGTCCCACATTGGGCTCCCTGCATGGAGCCTGCTTCTCCCTCTGCCTGTGTCTCTGCCTCTCTCTGTGTGTCTCCCGTGAATAAATAAATAAAATCTTTAAAAAAAAAAAAAGGACTCAGTGAATGTCGGGATGGGGGTGCCGTGGTAAGGGTGACAGTGTCGTGGTGAGTGTAATGACATCATGGTGTTGGAAATGCTGTTCCACCCCTAGGTACCACCAGAGCAAGGACTCGGCCTGGGCATCAGGGTTTTTAAAAGATGCTCCGGTGATTCTAACGTGCAGGAAGGTGACAACAAAATGCCCCCGATCAATGCCACATGAAAGATGGCCCCACACCAGCAGCACCCACGTCACCTGGGAGCTGGTTGGAACTGGGGATTCTCGGGCCCCCCCTGGGCCTGCTGACTCAGAGCGCCCCAGGGCTGGCACCCACCAGTGGACTTGGACACCACCCGCAGAGTCTGGGCACGCTGTACTGTTAACAGCGCCACCCCAGGGGATGCGGATGTGTAGCCACTTTGGACACGCCCGTGCCCACAGGTTAACACCAGACAACAGGAGGGAGGGATAAGACCGGTCCCTGAAGAGCACCCCCGAACCCCGGTTGGTGAGCTCCATGGGAATCTTTCACTTCGGATCCTAGACTCACTCCCACCACGTACACTGAAAAAAAGCCCATGTCACACCCAGGCTGGCGTTTGCCCAAAAGGAGCCAGGCTTCCCTGGAGAACGCTCAGTGCCACCAGGGCCAAGGAGGTGGGCACCCCTGCCCCCGACCCACTGAGGTCACACAACAGCTGATGGTGCGTCATTATACAGGGACTGGGATAGGTCCTCGGGACTCAGCCCATGACAGGCTTCATACCCTTTTTGCTGGTACAGAAGCAACCTAAGTATACCCTGCTGCAGGCAGCACAGAAGACATGTGCATGCGTGTGTGTGCGTGTGCGTGTGCGAGAGAGAGCTCGACTTCACAAAACCTTCTTCCTGGAGGCTTGTTAGATGTTGCAGAATTGGGGCCTCTGGGGGGCTCAGTAGGCTGAACATCTACCTACGACTCAGGTCGTGATCCCGGGGTCCTGGGATCGAGCCCCACGTCAGGCTCCCTGCCCAGAGGGGAGTCTGCTGCTCCCTCTCCCTCTGCTGCTCCCCCTGCTTGTGCTCTCTCTCTCTCTCAAATAAATAAAATCTTTTAAAAAAGGAATTGCACCCCCACCCCCACCCACTTACTGAATCAGAACCTACATTTTCACAAGCTCCCCTTGAAAACCTCAGGTGCCCTGGGATAAACCAAACAGCGGCGGTGGCCACTCGCAATGCTTAGCGGCCCCCGCCCCCCCCCCCCCCCCCCCGGACTGTGATTCTGCTGGCCTGATGTGGCCCTGGCACATTTTTTAAATTCCAGTGAGTGTTAAGAACCGGCTGACCTCTGTGGGTGTCGGCCTTCCTCAGGGGCTCCGGGGGAACCCACAGACCACCCTGTTCATCCTTTCCCGGCACATCTGAATCCCACCGGTCTCAGACTTCAGGCCAGGGAAGCAGGCTCAGTCAACAGCATCACATGGCATGAGGTGACTCGGGGTGACAGGTGGTGCTTGGGTCCCACAGTAGGTCCGGGGGTGATCACTGGGTATTTGAGGACGTGCTTCCCTCCCAGTTGTGAGTCTGCGGATGGTGCTTCCCTCTCAGGGCGAGCCTGCTGGTCATTCCTCCTTGTGCACCTGACTGCTCTTCCTCTGGCTGTGAGCTGGCCCGGGGTCTCCCCGGGGTCTTGGAAGTGACACGTGAAGGGGAGCAGCACCCCCCAGGTGGATGGGCAGCTCAGAGGGGCCCCCCGCATTGGGACGACCCCTGATCACGGAGTCACCGCTCCAAGGAAGCCCAGCCTGTGGCACTTGGGGACAGTGGCCAGGCCGGGCAAGCACCCAGCTGAGGCTGGGGGACATTCGCACCGCCCAGCTGGTGAGTAGCCCAGATTTCTGCTCTCGCCCCCTCCCACCCATGTCACACTGCGCCCCAGGCAGGGGCTCCAGGTCACATGAAGCCTAAGGACCAGTGTCCGAGGTGCAAGCCGCCCCCCACACAGCTGAGCCCCTGAGGGAAGCTCTGGTAAAGGACTGAGCACTGTCCCTGGAGCAAGGACGATACCACCAGCTCGCTGTGCACCTTTGTACAGCTCGCCTAACCTCTCTGGTCTTCCTTGTCCGTAACAAAGAGCGGGGCGGCTGATCCATGAGTGGGAGCAAGGATCGAAATGAAGCCAGGGGAAGCCCAAGGGGGTTGCAATTCAGACAGTTCTGGTTATGATAAAGGGGCTGTTTGGTCACCTCGGGCGAGGTGGGTTCTGCATTCCCGCAGGCTCCTCCAGCCCACACGGACACACATGGGCACAGACACATGGACACACCACACCAGGCAGCAAGGATGGCACGATGGTGAGAGCCAGGCCCGGAGCTCAGTCCACAGCAGTTCTCGGGATGGACCCCCCGGGGGCCACCACCGCTGGGGGCCTCCGAGGAAGAGGAGGCCGTGGCCCACAAGACAGGTCCCAGGGCCCCCGCACCTCCCACGGGTCCAGACGTGGGTCTCAGATCGCCTGGTCCTGCCTCTGTCTTAGGCTGAGCACGCGGGCCGCTGCCACGAAGGCCGCCCCCGTGAGCAGCTCGGCGACGAAGCTGATCCAGCCCAGGGCCAGGGACCAGCCGAAGCGGATGTCCACCTGGTCCAGGAGGGCTTTCTCCTCCAGGAGACACAGCGCCTCCCGGAAGGCGGCGGCCGAGTACGCGATGTAGACGCTGATTCCTGCCAGGGTCACCAAGGCTGCAGGGGAGGCAAGGGGAGCAGATCAAAGCCCCAGGGCACTGCTTCCTCATCCTCCTTCCTCTCCTACTCCCCTCGCCTCACCCCACCCACCTCTCTAGGTGGCCGTGCTCCTCCTACCACAGGGCTTTTGCCCCTACTCAGGGCACCCTCCTTTCCTTTCTGTTTCCCTCCAGTCCCCTGTCACTCCTATCCATCCTCCCATCCCAGCTCATGCTTCCATTCCGGGACCTCTCCCTGTAGGTCAAATCCCCCTGGGCTTTCACAGCACCACACACCGTCATGGTCCTGGTCAGAACTGCGATTTTGCGTTTGTTTTTGAAATCGCTTAGCAAATAAATGTCCATCGCCCCCACAATGGGCTGTGAGCTCCAGGGGGGTTCACCCTGGATTCGCCAGCACCGGGCACTGGGCTGGCACGTGTTGGGTCCCTATGACAGTGTAGTCCTGGGCCACAGCTGCCAGCCACAGAGGGGGGCTATTGAAATTTAAATTAAATTAATGCAAATGAACATCTCAGCCCTCCTGGGGTGCCTGCCACAGAAGGAGTGTCGGTAGCCTGGCTTAAGGCTCCCCAGGGCACATGTGGATTAGACTTCCTGCACCACAGAAAGGCCAACTGGGCCGAGTGGTTTCGAGAATTTGTCCCTGGGTGAAGCATTAACGCCAACGTCAATAACAGTAGTGGGTGCCTGGAGGGCATCTGAGCCTCACAATATTGTAACCTCCAGACATTCTTTTTTATTTTTTTTCCTCCATGGATCCCAAGTGTGTGCATCACCTCTGTTCTTGTCCTGATTTTAAGGAGGGATGATTTCAAGCCCACAGGAAGGAGGGAGGTCTGAGGACACCGACCGTGTGCTGGATTCCCAACCGGATTAACCCAGGCATTGCCTGGCTTTTCATCAATCAACAATCAAGCAAAGCAAGATGCGTCAGAAGGGCAGGGGGCATGAGAGAGCGAGGGTGTCCTGCCAGCCCGCAGCCCTCAAGCGGAAGCTTGTAGGGCCATCTGGGAAACCAGGAAAACAATCCTCCGGACTTGCTCCCACCCTCTGCTTCTCTCTTGGGACCACAGACCCAGGGATGCCGTCCTCCTTTCCGGCTGTGATGTCGCAGAAGAGGAAACCGAGCCCGAGAGGACGCCCGCCCCTCCCTGGCCGAGGAGCCATGTGCAGCCCCTCTGGGGTCCCCACAGTCCATGCAGCTAGGGTGGGGAGGGCACCTACCTCCAAAGAAGAAGAGGGTCCCTGTGAGCAGGAGGAGAACAGAAACTCGGAGGAGGAAGCTCAGAAACCCCGTCATCCCCCCAAAAACCATCAGGATCAGGCTGAGCGGCAGCAGAATCACAAACGTCCCGTGCATGGCTTAGAAGAGAGGACGACAGCAGGCAGAGGAGCATTACCACCTTTCAGTCAATCAACAAACATTCCTGAGCCCCGCCTATGGGCCAACCCCCAGATGCTGGGAGAAAAAAATGAACGTCATGGTTACTACCATGTCTGATGATGATGATGATGATGAAACAACATGTCACCAACAACAAGGTCTCACTCTTTTTCACAGCCGAATAATACCCATTGCATAAGTGAAATAAGCAGAACAGAGAAAAATGTGTATTGTATGATTTCACTCATAGGCAGAATCCAGAAAACAAAACAAATAAGCCAACAAAATAAAAGACTTAAATATGGAGAATAAACTGGCATTTGCCAGATCAGAGGGAGTGGGGGGGGTGAAATAGATAAAGGGGGTAAGACGTAGGTACTTCTGGGTATAAAATAAATAAGTCACAGGGATGAAAAGTGCAGCATGGGGAATACTGTCAATAACACTAGTACCGGAAGGACAGGTGGTGAATACACCGGTTAGGATGACACCGGGTCACGTGGGGAACTGGCCAATCCCCACGCTGTGCCCCTGAAACTAACGAGGTAACATTGTATGTCGACTGGACTACAAAATAAAAAAAACAAATCGGGGATCCCTGGGTGGTGCAGCGGTTTGGCACCTGCCTTTGGCCCAGGGCGCGATCCTGGAGACCCGGGATTGAGTCCCACATCGGGCTCCCGGTGCATGGAGCCTGCTTCTCCCTCTGCCTGTGTCTCTGCCTCTCTCTCTCATTCTGTGTGACTATCATAAATAAAAATTCAAAAAAATCATTTTTAAAAGGGACAACCATTGTTGAAAGTCATGTGCGCCAGGCTCTGGGTCACTCACACGTGCTCTGGGTCACATACGCGAGCTCTGGGTCACTCACACACGCTCTGAGTCATACACATGTGCTCTGGGTTGCCCACGCGCAGTCTGGGTTGCTCACGCGCGCTCTGGATCACACACCCGCGCTCTGGGTCACATACGCATGCTCTGGGTCACTCACACACGCTCTGGGTCACTCACACATGCTCTGGGCCATACACATGCACTCTGGGTTGCCCACGCGCAGTCTGGGTTGCTCATGCGCGCTCTGGGTCATACACACGCGCTCTGGGTCGCAAACGTGCACTCTGGGTTGTACACACGCGATCTGGGTCTCTCACGTGCGCTCTGGTTCACACACGCGCGCCCTGGTTCGCACGCACGCACTCTGGGCCTCTCATGCGTGCTCTGGATCGTACACACGCGCTCTGGGTCGTACACGTGTGCTCTGGGTCTCTCACACACGCTCTGGGTCACACACACGCACTCTGGTTCACATGCGCACTCTGGGTCGCACACACGTGCATCCTCATGGCAGGTAATGCCACGTTCATCCACATATTCACTCAGCATGTTTATAGCACACACACTGGGTGCCTTGTTAGTTACATACTGTTCTCGGCCTGGCGGGTTCCAGGGCAAACACACCCCAACCCCTGCCCTCCAGAGGCTGGCGCTATAGCGAGTAGGGTCAAGCAGTGAACTGACCCATAGTGACAGAGTTGAGAGGCGGTGACAGTGGCTGGGGAGGGCAGTGACCACAGCACAGAAGGGGCCAGGCCAGTGAGGAAGTGATGTGCAAGCAAGCCGCAGGGGAGGGAGGGCAGGAAGGGTGGGGGGTGGGGGGCGGCCGAGGGAGGAGCAGGTGCAGAGTCTGGGTGATGTGCCCGGTGGGATGGAAGCACCCCGGCCGCAGATGGGGGCCACGTGGAGAGGGCAACACAGGAGGTGCAGGGGAAGGCAGCGAGCTAACAGCACAGCACGGCCGAGATGTCTGAATGAAGGAGGTCCCCGCAGCCCGCAGCTCGGGGCCAGAGAATCCCACAGTGTCACTTCTGTTTCTCAAGACCTCTGCTGGGAGTAGATGGCAGAGGGGTGCCGGTGATGCAGAGGGTGCTCCCAAGCTCGTGTCCCACAGGAAGCTCCACAGGTGACCTGATCTGGGACAAGAGTCTTTGCAGATGCAATGAAGTGAGGAGCCTCCACGTGAGATCATCTGGATCCGAGGGGGGCCCCCATCCAATGGCAAGTGCCCTGGGAGGAAGCAGCTGAGACCACGGAGACAAGGAAGTGAAGGGGGGTGCAGAGATTGAGCCGCCTGGCTCCACGCCCAGGGCTTCTGGGGACGGCCACCACCACCTGAGGCCGGGGAGGCAGGGACCAGATTCTCCCTCGGAGCCTCGCGGAGGACCAGCCCTGCGGACCCCTTCCTCTCAGACTTCTGACCTCCAGGACTGTGACACAATGCAGAAAGCAGGAAAGGGTGAGTCAGGTGGGGTGAGGGGGAATGGAAGAAATCTGGGGTCTTGGGATCCCCATGTCTAAACATTTGCCACTATCTTGGCTCTGAGCTTCCTGGCAGCCAAAGCAGAAAGGGAAATAATCGCTAAGTTCTTCTTCACCGGCTATTCGTTTACCAAATATTTATTGATCATTTACCGTGAACTGGGTACTAAGCCTCTTTCAGTCCTTTCGGCAGCAAAATAGGTATGAAAAATAAATACCTTGGGGCCCCTGGGGGGCTCAGTGGTTGAGTGTCTGCCTTCGGCTCAGGTCTTGATCCTGGGATCCTAGGATCGAGTCCTGCATTGGGGTCCCTGCATGGAGCCTGCTTCTCCCTCTGCCTGTGTCTCTGCTTCTCTCTCTGTCTCTCATGAATAAATAAACAAAATATTTTATAGGAAAAGAAAAAAATAAAAAGAAATACTTTGTCTTGCTCTGCGGAGCATGCTAAGCTCATTTCTTCCCGAAGTCTTTCCTCACACCCACATCCATGGTCTGCTTGGTGCCCCCTCCCCAGGGTCCCCAGTCGCCCTATCCGGGCATCTGTTGGAGGGCATCTTCTGTGTCTCCCATTAAGCTGTGGGTTCCTTGTCCAGGTTCCTCTTGTACGATCGCATCCCTGAGTTTCCAGGAGAGCTCTCAGGAGATGGTGAGTGTGCCCAACAGGTATTTGTCAACCTCGTAATTAAGTAAGAGCTAGACGGTGTTTCCCGAAGGCAAGACATGATGGCAGTTTCCAAGAAATGAGAAAGAAACCAAGAAGCTTGAGAGAGGACCCCACAGTGGTTCAAACCACAGACTTTCAGACTTTGGAGCCAGGTACTCTGTGTGCGAATTCGGGCTCTGACTCTGGGGCCACGGCCGTGTCTCTTCATTTGGCAGGAACTCCATTTCCACATCTGTGAAAAGGAGGCAATACTAGGGGGCTCACAGTATTACCATAAGGACGGTGTGCCCGTGGAGCACCCGGGGGGCTCAGCAGTGGAGCATCTGCCTTCGGCTCAGGGCATGATCCCAGGGTCCTGGGATCGAGTGCCGCATCGGGCTCCTGGCATGGAGCCTGCTTCTCCCTCTGCCTGTGTCTCTGCCTCTCTCTCTGCATCTCTCATGAATACACACATAAAATCTTAAAAAAAAAAAAAAGGCAGTGTGCGTGATGATGGGGCAACGTGGAAAAGCATAAATGTAGGTCCCACGTCCCATAGAGTAAGCGCTAGATAGGTCATCACCCTGTCAGTAATACCGATGCTGGAGACAATAATCCAGCCCACTGTGACCAGATCACTTTGTCCTCAACCCTCCAAATGCCACCAACCTTGGCAAGTCAAGGAGATAAGACCAATCTCCCTCCCAAGGTTTGTCCCTCCCTCCCTCCCTCCCTTCCTTCCTCCCTCCCTCCCCCCCTTCCTTCCTTCCTTCCTTCCTTCCTTCTGTCTGTCCTTCCTTCCTTCCTTCTTTCCTTCCTTCCAGAAAAATCTTGGGCCAGAAACCACAACAGCTGGTGTGAAAACCTGGCCCTGGAAGATGTGTCCCCCTGTATGGCATTGCCTCCAGACTGTGGCTGGAAAGTGAAGTCATTTCTCATTTAGAAATTAATGAGGTTTCCTGGCGCCGGCACGGCCCTGGCGGCGCCCCGTGTGAGTTCCCCAGACGTGCCGCAAGCCGACTTGACGTACATGTTCAATTAAATGTCTGGGTAAGAACAGGCCTCCCGTGCGAGAGCTGTAAAATCTCCTGCTGAAGTTTGGCTTAGCTTCTCGTGGGGGGTGAGTGCGTGTGTGTGCGCGCACACCCGAGTGCCTCAGTCTTTGTTATTTTCAGGGCTGCAGACGTGGGAAATGAAGATTGATTCTGCGTCCCGTTCTCCTTAGGAATGTATCCACTTCCAACCCCATCTCGTTTGGAAACACGATGGGCCCCTAGTGCAGGCCACGCACTGCTGCAGAGCTTGTGGACACTGCAGGGGTCCCTGCCCCACCCACCCACCCCGCGCCCCGCCTTGGAGATCGGGGTCTAGGGCAGGAGACAGAAGAGCAGGGAAGCAAAGTCGCGGGCTGTGATGTGTCACGAAGGAAGTAAGCATGATGATGCAGAAAAATGGGGTAGGCAGGCAGTGGGGGCACTTCTTTGAATAAGGTGATCGCTTTCATTTCCTTGGGCTGCATCACGAATTAGCACAAATCTTGTGTCTCCTACAGGAACATATGCTGCTATAGTCCTGGAGGCCACAAATCCAAAATCAAGGTGTCCCAGGACCGCACGCCCCCCCAGAGGCTCTGGGGGAAGAGTCCTTCCCTGCCTCCTGCAGCCTCCCAAGGGTGCTGGCCATCCCTGCCACCATCTGGCTGGAGGCTGTGATTTCCTAGTCTCTGTCCCCATCTTCACGTGAGCTCTTCTCTCCTCTGTGATTCTCCTTTACTTATAAGGATCCTTGACATAGAACTCAGGGCCCACCTGGGTAATCCAAGATGATCTCTTCTCAAAATCCTGAACTTAATTACATCTGCAAGGAACCTTTTTTCAAATAAAGTCACATCCTCAGGTACCAGGGGTTAGGATGTGGACAAATCTTTTTTTGGGGTGGGGGAGGGAATAACACCTTCTAATTCACTACAGTGTTTACAGGAGGAGCTCAACAGAGAGCAACCAAGGTTACGACATAAAA